TTGCTTTCTCTCTCTCTCTCTCTCTCTCTCTCTCTCTCTCTGTCCCTCTCTGGTCAAGATGAAATAAACCAATGAATAAATAAATAAAGTTGAATAAAATAATTCTTTTAAAAAAATAAAATAGAGCTTAAATACATTCGTCATTTGAAATGAAGACAATGATATGCTTGACTTCTAGTTAGGACACTGCACTTTAAAAATAACATTACATATTGTAGCCTTAATTTCAAAAGTACACACAATTGGGGCCGGTAGGTGGCATGGTGGTTAAGGCTCTGGACTCTCACATGGCTGACTGTGGTTCTAGTCCCAGACCTGTGGGCTTGAGAATCACGCTGGACATGTGTGTGTGTGTGTGCATGCCCAAAATCCCAGGAGGAGAATGAAGAAGAGACTGTGGCATTGCCAGACTCCCTGGGGCTGATTTCTTACTTTCCCTCTCTCTGTCTTTGTCTCTGGCAAGTGCACATGCCCTGTGACAAGAACCTAAAAATAATTTTAAAAGTACATGCAAGGGAACAGCAGTGAGCATAATGGCTATGTCGCTGGACTCCCACGTAGTCGACGGCGGTTCGAGTCCTGGACCCAGTGGCTTAAACTCATGCCGGGCGTGTGTGCGTCCATGCCCAAGATCCTGAGAGGAGAACAGACGAGAAGGGATTGCAGCGTGGCCATCCCCCCTGGGGGGTGATTTCTCGCTTTCTGTCTCTCTGTCTCTGTCTGTCTGTCTGGCGAGCACACACGCCCTCTAGCAAAAACCTCTCAAAAAAAAAAAAGTACATGCAATTAGTATCTATTAAAATGAAGAATGTTCATGCTCTAACCCAGCAAACTCAGTTCTAATCATCTCTCCCACAGAAATTAAAGCACCAAAATGTAAAGCCAAATGCATTACTGTTCATAATAGCAAAAGTGAGAAATATCCTTTAATAAAAGAATGATTGAAAAAGTATGGCACACATATATAATTGAATATTAAGCATGAAATAAACAGAGAGCTGATTTCACTAACCTACAGTAAACGTTTTCTTCAACACACTGTTCTGCACCTTGTGTGGCAGAGTTGCACTTTAATTT